TAATACAGTAACCTAAAAGAATTTATTTATTAAAACTGTCAGCTGTCAGTTCAGTGCTATATTTGGTTCATCTTATAGACATCTCTCTCTCTCTGTCTCTCTCTTTTGTCTCTTGCTCTATCAGCAGCGAAGGCATTGATGTTGATTAAAGAGTGCCATTCCCAGGGCCAGATATGGACGGGATATATGCTATTTAATTTCATTAATTTCACTGGGGCGAAGAGAAGAATAAAGCTGGCTTTTGCATGCTGCTTCTGAGCAGTGCCAAAGACAAAACCATTAGGTGATCCTAATTCCAAATGTCAATTCTACTGGAGAAGACACTCCTAAATAAAATGTATGCAGAAAACCTCAATTACAAACATTTATTAAACTTAGCTCTCTGGTCCTAAGGGCAGGCCCTCATGAGACACAAATTTCCATCCTAAGCCACCTCACATTTAGCTACTGTTCATATGATCATAATTAGAATAAGTGTCTGTATATGTTTTTGAAAATATTTCCAAAAGGGGGTTGAAAATATTTCTATGCATTTTAAGCATTTTTCATCTTTTAAAAAATCTTATAAGTTCATGTATATGTAAATTCATTTAAAATGTCTAAAACCATATATACCAAATACTGATATGTCTAGGTGGTAGGATTGGCTATGATTTTTTCTAATTTTTTACACTTTTATGAATTTCATTTTTGTCTAAACTTTTGAAAATTAAACTAAGCATGAGTTACTTTTATCAGCAGAGAAAGCAGATACACTCTAGCTTATCAAAAAAAAAAAAAACAAAAAACAAAAACAAAAAGAAAAAACCTTTACAAGATTACATTAAACAAACCAGACCATCTTCCCTGGACATTATGCCCAGACACCCAAAAGCGGGAGGTGGAAGATGAGGGTGGTGATGACAATATAGGGAGGGCACACCCAGGCCTATCTGTATTGTGCAAGGCTTATTTGCCAACTCTCCCCTGTTCAGGATCAAGGGAAAATTACATGGCATTTTTCTTTCTGTATATGGCAGTAACATGAATACTATCTTATTTTCCAAGGCTCACTTCACTGATTTGTGTACCTTCCTTGCCTTAATAAATGGATCTTGAAAAGCTTTAATTAAAACTACAAAATAACTAGCTTCAGAGTAGTTATTGGTAATTTATTCTACATAAGCACAGCACAATAACAACCATTTGGGGCTCTCAAGAACATTATTCTGCCTTTTAATGTCAGTCACTTATTTTCATCCTCCTTGTCACTATCTCAGCCAAGGTCCTCATCTCTTCCTATCTAGGTCGTTGCAAGAGCTTCCTGTTTTCAATCTGTTTGGCATAACATTTCCAAATGAATCTTTCTAAAGCCCAGTGTTCATATAGATGGTGCTGATTAAAGACATTGACTGTGCTCCCATTACCTACAGAATGAAAACCAGACATCATTTGGGTGCTAGACTCATAAACTAACCCTAACCTGTTTTATTATTTTAATCCTCGGCTATTCCCCCATTCCATCCTGTCGCTCCAATCAGTCAGAGCTGCTCCCCTGAATGTATTAGATACTTTTATGCATCTACCCTTTGGCTTATGCAGTTTTTCCTTTACTTTATCACTCTGAAGTGCCTTTCTCTCAGTCTACGAGTTATCTGAGTACAGCCCTTGGAGACTGTCAAGGAGAGAAGCTTGGCATGTGCCCAGGAGATGCTGCTCAAAAAGAAAGGAGCCAATTATTTCAGGAGAGGAGCCAGTGAAAAGAAGGGCATTACTAGGAGGACACTCCAAAATCAATATTGGAAGAAGAAGGCTATTCTCAGCTTGCAGCTAAAGTGGGAGGATTAAGAACTCTGAGATTTGATAAAATGTCTTACCAAAGAAAGCAAATGTGAGAGTTTAATTGGTGGATGAAGAAAAAATTAAATGAGGTATCACTTTGTCATCAGAAAGGCCAGTTCAAGGGTATTGTTATAATATTACGTACCCTTTAGGGCTATCCCCTTCTTGTGGTTTGGTATCCTTTGCAGGGTTGGGGGATACTCACTGAACACCTTATCCTTTTAGGCCTAGTTTAATCCAATCACCTCTAGGCTGCTATGAAACTTTTCCAGATAACTTTAGCACACCGGTGTCATACCTCTCTCTGATATCACAGCACCTGTTATCTCTAGCCTTCATTTGGCAATGGATCATAAGATTGCCCTATGATTTTTTTTTGCATTTTGTACTCTCAACAACAACAACAAAAATATTTATTGCATGACCAGAAATATGTTCTGTTAATTCACTCTTCTCTTTAACTGGGCCTAAAATCTAAGCTAGCAGTTCTGTCTGTGAAACCATCTCTGAAACTGTCAAAAATTACCCCAAAGTGCTCATTCAGAAATAATTATATTGAATAAATTCCATAAAGAATATATATGCAGTTTGGAGATACATTCAAGAAAGCACATATTTCAGCTTGGATAATTTGGATATGAACAATAAAAATCAACTCTGACTTGCTTAAGCAGAAAATAATGTACTGCAAGAATATTTTGTAGTTCAAAATTCATGGGAAGGCTAAAGAAGATGACTCAGAAAAAAAAAGATAAAAACAAGGCTATAAAGATTCCAAGTAGCAGACCAGTTTCAGTGCCACCACTTTTTTCTTGTATTCACTCTGCTCAAGTTCTTAGTCTTGGGAGAGAAAAAAAAAATCAGGGTGGCCCCACCGGAGTCATTTTCTCTTCCACTCAACCTGCAGAGAGCAAGACATCTTGACTATACAAAAATGAGAAGTAATTTTCCCAGAGTAAATCTGGCACTCACCAAAAGGGGAATCATGGAAACTAGGCTTCCAAAGAAAGCACAACAGGAAGAACTGATGTAAATTATAGTCCAATCCATATATCTGTGAGGTTTTATAGATCAGAGTTCATTCTGGTGAGTGAATCCTATCATCAGTTTAGAAATAAAGCAGGTGGAATGAGAGCATAGGGCAAAGGGTTTATTTAAAATTGGAATACTATACTGAGACTTTAAGGCAGATGTAGGCAGCTCCATAGTATGGATATGACCTTTTGGGCAGAAGGCACAATCAAGTCCATTTTGAATGTGGAGTGGGCAGCTTGCCAGGTGAGGATGCCTTCAGGATCCAAGCCTCACTGTCTACTTAGATTCTCCTCTGAGGTCACATTGGTCATTATTCCCACTGGTTCACACTGAATGAGAGCTTTGTATGGGGAAGATAAGTGTTTTATAGTGCAGGTGGGAAAAAGACAAATTAACAAAATATGGCAATGCTGTAATTAACATAAATCCCTAATGCCCAGAGTTAGTGAAACCAAGTGGTATATGGGTTACATAGAAATGTACCCAAGATACAGGCACTGGGTGACATAAAGCTGCACAGTTATGCATCAGACATCTCTAAGCAAATGCTAAGTACTTAAAAATGGTTGTTTTTAAAATTCAGTGTCTGGATATACTAATAAATCTACAAAATATTTGCCAACTGATTTTACTTTGGGAAAAGAATAATACCTTAAGACTAAGAATAAATAAAGCAGAATTTGATCATATAAAGTTTTTAAAAAGAATAATTTATCTGCAGTATGTATTTCTCATGCTTGCATTATTTTTCACTGCTTCTATTATTTTAAAAGATAGTAAGTACGAAGCTTACTCTGCAAGAAAATTCTAATTATTCTACTTTTAGCAGTGGGGCCCAAAATTCTCATGTCTTCTTGGAGACAGAGAAAAGTTATTGAGAAAGTAAGATTATTTTAGAGTGAGGAGAGCTAGTCTCAGTATTTACATATTTTAAATAATAATTGTGGTTGCATATGCTGCTCAGAACTGAGCGAGATAGTTTATCTTACTAGTGAGTATAATAAACCTAGGCCAAAAAATTTAAGATTACTAGAACATGAAGTGAAGACCAAAAATATCAGTATTTTTTTCTTTGTAGGGGAAACAGAGTCAGAAAACAGTGAGCATTTCCTCAATTTCTTAAATAAACACAAGAAACAACAGGATAATAAATAAGTACCATTTTTATAAGTTAATATGGTACTTCAGTTAGGGAACAAACGTCATTAAACTGGTTGATCAGAAATCTTTAAATCCCTTATTAAATATCTGGAATTTGACTTCTAAAAATGATATTTGTACCTGTTAATTTATTGTTGTGGAGTGATTAAATGTGTATGAAATGATTTCACTTTGTGGAGCAAAGGGACTAAAGAATAAGACTAGGAAATTTTTATTTTTTATGATCCTCCAAGGATTAAATAGAAAGATGGATCCATATCTGTCTTTCCTTCCTACCAACTAGCTGTGATATAAAAGGAAATTTAAAAGTTGTGTTCTACTCAAAGTGAAGCTCACTATAGTCAGAGTACACTAAAGCAAAGTAAAAATACAAAGCAATTAAGACATCTGAACATTATGCCTTCTCCAAAACAACTACATTTAAATGTTTTATTCAGTACACACAGAATGTGTCCAATATCTTATACTTATTTCCCCTCCATAAAGGCAGCATTGGAGACCCAAGACAAAAACATTGGTAAAAACATTTTCACATATCCCACAATCACTGTTTAACATGGATATTGCCATCAGCAGACACTGAAGCAATTAAAACCAACTTAAACATGACCAGGAAGTGGTAGCATTGGACTGAAGGGCACACTAAAGTGACTTAATTCCATCTGCAGACATTAAACCAATATGAAGGCTAGTAATTTTACTGACTCTCTATAGAGCACCTTCTACCACAGAAAAATAAGGGAAACATTATAAAGAAGTTTTGTAGTGATGGTTTCACAATAAAAAAATTATTTCTACTAAGAAGAATGTTCTTATAACAAATTCCCAGGGCAATGAACTAGGATATATATAATTCTACTTTATATTACTTTTAAGGGTGTATAAAAATTCTGTGTGTTTTGGGAGGGTGGCAAACAAATAAGTTAGAAGAAACTAAAATGTTAATGTAGCTTCCAAAGCTATTAATAATTTTGATTACTGACCTGAATTCCTGTTTCCTGGAAGTGTTTCCTAGAGACAACAGTCTCCCTGACTTCTTTCTCGCTGGTGGCTAGAGTCCTGCTTCATGCAAAGATTCCAAATCCTAGGCAGGGACTATCATTCAGCCTCAGTTGTCAGTACCTCTTGATATACTGTCTGATGATGTCAAGTTCCTGATAAAAGCAATGGGGAAGAAATATCTTTTAGATCATAGTGGAGCAATTAGCTTGATGAAATTGCTTTGGGGAAACTCAGTCTTATGTTATAGAGAAGTATATCAAGTATTTGCCTCCAATAAATCCTGAACCAGGATTATCTCAACTTGAAGACTTTCACTAACTGTAGAAAACACTGACCACAAAATGTAAAAGTACTAATGAATTTTGAAATTCCAGAAAGATTTGTATATGTATTTTTAAAAGGTTTTCAAGAAGCAAAACGATGTGAGAATTTTAGACAGTGAACAGTTAGTTCTTCCTAAGGGCCTTCTTACCACCTAACCAATTTTTCCCCACATGAGTAGCTGAATATTATTTAGTTTTGTGATGCAGCACCCTTCTTAATGAAGGGTTTCATTAGCTTTTCTTTATCTTTCACTAGATCCAGATTAAAGCTGTGTGAGGTTTCAGAATAACATTTCTAAGATGAAAGAACTTTAAAAGGAACTTACAAAATACCAGTGCTACCTTAACCAATAGAGACGAGTATATATTCAGCAGCTGGTGCACGCAGGGCACTGTTCCGGGTGCTGAACAAAACTCAAATAACGTCCGCCTGCCCAGAGCGTACATTCTAGTGGTCTGTATGCTGGGTGAGGAAACAAAAGCCATGTCCGAACACTTAAAAAGCTAAACAAATAAATGAACAAGATAATTTCAGATAGCAGGAAGTTCAAGGATGAAAGGAAGCCAGGGTGGTATAAGAAGAAATGACCGTAAGGAACAGGATAGGAGAGTGTTAAATTGGATTGGTTTGCTAGGGAAACACCTTGCTGAGGATGTCATATCTAATGTAAGGCTGAAATGACCAGAAAAATGAGTGGTTTCAAGACCCACACTCTGAGCATTGCAGACAAAAGGAACAGTATGTGCAAATCTCTTCAGATGGAAATGGACGCCACCTATTGGAGGAAAGGAAACCTGGTGTGAATGGGAGGAAATAAGATCAGAGGCAAGCAGGGACTAGATTGCGTGGGCTTTGATAAGGGGTTTGAGTTTTCTTCTAGATGTATTAAGCAGTGCAATGGCATACTTTAATTTACTTTTTTTAAATTTCAACTTTTATTTTGAATACAGGGGTACAAATGCAGGTTTCTTACATGGGTATATTGCATTCAAGTAGTGAGTGTAATACCCAATAGGTACTTTTTCAATCCACGCTCCCTTTCTCTCCAGTCTACTAGTCCACTTTGTCTATTGTTCCCATGTTTATATCCATGTGTGCTTAATGTTTAGGTCTAACTTATAAGTGAGAACATGCCTTATTTGGTTTTCTGTTCCCGCATTAATTTGCTTAGGATCGTGACCTCCAGCTCCATCCATGTTGCTTCAAAGGAAATGATTTTTATTATTTTTTATGGTTGCATGGCATTCCATGGTGTATATGTACCACATTTTCTTTATTCAATCCACCACCGATGACCCCCTAGGTTGATTCCATGTCTTTGCTATTATAAATAGTGTGGTGATGAACATGAGTGCATGTACTTATAATGATCTAATGATCTGTTTCCCTTTGGGTATATACTCAGCAATGGGATTTCTGAGTCGAATGGTAGCACACTGTTTTAAGTTCTTTGAGAGATATCCAAACTGCTTTTCATAGTGGCTGAACTAATTTACATTTCCACCAATAGTGTATAAGCATTCCGTTTTAGTGGTTGAGCTAATTTACATTCCCACCAATAGTGTATAAGCATTCCATTTTCTCCACAGACTCACCAGCATCTGTGGTTTTTTGACTTTTCATAATAGCCATTCTGACTGGTGTGAGATGGTATCTCACTGTGGTTTTGATTTGCATTTCTCTGATGATTAGTGATGATGAGCATTTTTTCATATGTTTGTTAGTCGCTTACATATCTTCTCTTGAGAAGTGTCTGTTCATCTACTTTGCCCACCTTTTAATGGGGTTAATTTTTGCCTGTTGATTGAATTAAGTTCCTTATAGATTCTGGATGTTAGACCTTGGTCTGATGCACAATTTGTGCCTATTTTCTACCCTTCTGTAGGTTGTTTGTTTATTTTGTTGGTAGTTTGTTTATTCTGTAGGTTTTTGTTTATTCCATTGGTAGTTTGTTTATTCTGTAAGTTGTTTGTTTATTCTGTTGGTAGTTTGTTTATTCTGTAGTTGTTTTATTCTGTAAGTTGTTTGCTATTCTGTGGGTTGTTGTATTTGTTGGTAGTTTGTTGTTTATTCTGTAGGTTATTGTTTATTCTGTTGTTAGTTTATTCTGTGGGTGATTTGTTTATTCATAAGTTGTTTGTTTATTCTGTAGGTAATTTATTTGTTTATTCTGTAAGTTGTTATTCTATTGGTAGTTTGTTTATTCATGTAGAATTGTTTATTCTGTTAGTTGTTATTTATTCTATAGGTATTTTGTTTGTCATTGGTGGTTTGTTTATTCCTTTGGGTTGTTTGTTTATTCTGTTGGTAGTTTGTTTATTCTGTAGGTTGTTTATTCTGTTGGTAGTTTGTTGTTTGTTCTGTAGGTTGTTTGTTTATTCTGTTGTTGTGTTAGTTTTCTTTGCTGTGTGCAGAAACTCTTTAATTAGGTCCCACTCAAGTTCTGTTTTGTCCCATTGCTTTTGTAATAATCATAACTTCTTCACCAGGTTTGTTTATTCTGTTGGTAGTTTGTTTATTCTGTAGGTTGTTTGTTTATTCTGTTGGTAGTTTCTTTTGCTGTGCAGAAACTCTTTAATTAGGTCCCACTCAAGTTCTGTTTTTGTGCAATTGCTTTTGTAAACTTAATCATAACTTCTTCACCAAGGTTGATGTCAAGAAGGGTATTTTCTAGGTTTTCTTCTAAGATTTTTTATAATTTTAGTCTCACATTTAAATCTTCAAAGCTTATTGTGTTAATTTTTGTACATGGTGAAAGGTAAGTGTCCAGTTTCATTCTTCTGCATATGACTAGCCAGTTATCCCAGCACCATTTATTTAATAGAGAGTTTTCCCCCATGGCTCGTTCTCATTTTTGTTGGACCTTGTTGAGGATTACATGGTTGAAGGTGTGTTGCTTTATTTCTGAGTTTTATATTCTGTTCCATTGGTCTGTGTATCTGTTTGTCCAGTACCGTGCTGTTTTGATTACTTATGGTAGCCTTATAGTATAGTTTGAAGTTGGCTAGTGCGATGCCTCTGGCTTTGTTCTTTTTGCTTCGTATTACTTTGGCTAATTTGGCTCTTTTTTGGTTTCATATGAATTTTAGAACAGTTTTTCTCTAATTAGGTGAAGAATGACATTGGTAATTTGATAGGAATAACATTGAATCTTTAAATTTATTTGGGCAATATGGGCATTTTAACAATATTAATTTTTCCAATCCATGAGCATGGAACATTTTTCCATTTATTTGTGTCATCACTGATTTCTTCCAGCAGTGTTTTGTAGTTCTCCTTGTAGAGCTCTTTTACCTCCTTGGTTAGCTGTCTTCCCATGTATTTCATTTTCTTTGTGGCTATTATAAATGGGATTGTGTTCTTGATTTCACTCTCAGCCTGTGTGTTATTGGGGTATAGAAATGCTACTGATATTGATTTGGTATACTGAAACCCTACTAAAATCATTTATCAGTTCTAGTAGTCTTTTGTTAGAGTCTTTAGGGTTTTCTGCATATAGAATCATTTTCAGTAAAAAATATGGTTTTACATTTTTTCCCTATGGATGCCTTAATTTAAACTTTTAATGAATTATTCTGATTGCCAGCTGGAGTAGAAGCAGGACAAGTGTAGAAGCAGTGATTGAAATTAGGATGCTTTTGTCTAAGCAAGAGATGATAGGGATTTGGACTAGTATGTTAAAATAGAAGAAGACAGGGGTAATACGGCAGAGATGTTGAGACCAAAATTATATTTTGGAAATGAGTAAAATATCTATTTCATCAGCTTCCTTCAATACATTTCCATATTCAAACATTTTTTGAATGTCTACTAAGTTCCGGTTTTGTACTTGAGAGATACCACAGTGAAAAACAAAAAGTCTTATAAAACATATTTTAAAGTACATTGGAAAAAATAAATAATAGATCTAATATTTAAAAATGAAGCATAAAATATTTTCATTTGCTTTCTTTTAACAGTTTTTAAAATAAAGAATATACCTGCACCACAGGGGAAAAAAAATAAAAATATGCAAGAAAAAAACCCCAGAAATTAGAAATCATCAATAAATGTATGAAAGAAAACCACCGGTACTACTTTTCAACTAAAACTTCCCCATTTTTTCTCTTGCTTGTAACTAGTGTTTTTTTAATGATAATAAAGCCTGGAAAAAAAAGTATAGTTAGGAAATGTTGTCATGTGGTTGGAATTTAAAGGATTTGGTAATTATTTTATTAAGCAGTAGTTAAAGGATTATACCCCAGCCTTGGCCATGGTTGACTAGAAAACAAAGCCTGAGGCAATCACAAAAGTAACAAATGAGTGGGAAATGTGAGGTGGGTTGGGAAAGAGGCTAAACAAATTTAAGTGGTACACGATGAGCCTGGCCTGCTTCATGAAGAGGCACATCCATAAGGATATCTTTGGTCAGGCTATATAATAACACCATGCTTTGGAACTGTCCATAAGTGGAGGAAAAGGAGAGAAATCATCCTGCTGCTTCCTTCCCTCTTCCCTCCTCTCTCCCTCGGTAAACATTTTTCCATGGAAATTTAATACTTTGCCTCACTTTGGAACTGGGCCTACTGATGTTTTGGCAGCCTCAAAAGAGGCCAGATTTTGCCACTGTGGCCCCATTCTTCATAGGAGACCAGAAGTAGTGAGCAGAGCAAGAGATTTCTTGCAGTAGTATCAATGTTCCATTATCATTCTGTGTCAGAAGCAGCTGCAATAGCCTAAAGAAGCAAGCAGCTGAGGTTTCATGCCAAAGGGCACATGAGATGACTGTATGGGTCAATCAAACAATATAGTCCTGAAGTCAACTACTTTTAGCATTTTCTGACAAAAC